TGACTAATACGTGGTCCATGTATCAGCTTCCAGCCGCTGCACACCTGTGGCCGCCCTCCCTCACTGGGATGATTCAGCGAGGGTCCTCTGCCACCCACCATCCCTGAAATAGCTTCATGTGGCTTCATTCACACAGAGCCGCAAGGCAGCTCGGTTGTTGATACACAAATATCACAGTGTTGATACATTTAAACAGCGGAACTAATTAAGACCCTCTAACAAGCAAGACGTTTCAATGATGACATTTCGGAATAATATATTTAGTCGACAGTTAAGTACTTAGTACAAAAAGTAACGCTTGCATCAGTGCTCATGCTTTAGCTGACACTCCCATGCACCACAAGCTGCACGCATGCTGGGATTACAGGACTCACTCCAAACAGGTGCTCTGCATATTATGCTGCAGAGGGTGTGTGCAGAAGGTGTGAGGAGTGAACATACCCTGGTCGCAACCTATCAGCAGACCAGCTGCAGACACACGCCATGCAGTCGCGGAGACTTGCAGGGTGGGACACGGTCGTACCTGGGATGACGGAGTCGATCCAGACAGGAGCGTGGCCCCGGAGCGTGAACCCAAAGCTCTTGTTCCCCTTGTAGACACGCACGGTCCTGGGGCGCACGAATGGAGTTAACATCAGGCCTACCCGGCCAAGTTACCCATAATGTCTCAGAAGTCCCGAATTAGCCGGAGGATGTCAGCTTGGAAGGCTAAAGGCCACCCCACCGACTACACATATTCTCAAATACACTGGAGTCTAATAGGTGGAGGGGCCTGATGGGTAGAGGGCCCTCAGGTACACCCCAGGACCCCTGGAAATCGTGTGGCCTAATTTACTCCACCCATATGTGCTTTCTAGGCTTCAGGGCTCAAACAAAGCCCAATCAACGAGGGCAATCAGTAATCAGCCAATGAGGTGGGCAGTAATCCTTGTCTGAGGAGATAGTTGCTGGTGCTGAGGCCCCACCCATCACCTGCCATCCCCCACCCACCAGCATCTGCTTGGTTTCCACAGCAACCCCTGGCCGAAGTTACGTAAGTGCTGAAGGAAGTAAAGTTCACGTGTGGTCCTGATTGGGCAGCTCTGGCACCCGCCTAATGGCAGTTTAAGTGCCGGGCGCTGCCCGAACTGTGGAGACACTCAGGGATCTCGTAACCTGAGCTGTGAGGAACAGACATGGCTGTTAGGTTTGTGTGGAGGGAGCCTGTTTTCTCTGTAAGCCAGCCACGGGCAGATACCGCCTCCTACTGGAGGACATCGGTATAGCTGGGATCCGAAGTGTGGACCACGCACAATCTTAGACTCACGGCGTCTCTGAAAGGGCAAGATGCAGGCGGCGGAGCTGTGAACGCTCCAGTACGTTTCTCACCCTCCAATGCTCGCAGGAGGGCCGGAGAAACAAAGCACTGCATGTCGGCCTCCCACGTGGCGACAGCTCCCCGCAAACACGGAGGCGGCAAACCGCAGGCTGGGGGGCTGTGCGGGAAAAGCCTCGCTGGGACACTCACCCTCCCCAGCAGGTGTCAGCGTGAGCCAGGCTCTAGGCAGCTTTATACAGCTCCTTCACCCTCCCCAGCAACACATGGTGCATTTTCTGAAGCTCCCAGTCCGCAACATAGCACATCCTGTCCCATAGTTATGCCATAGTCTGCTCCATTATTCCATGGCACATAAGTGCTCCTATCAAACCCATGTAGGGTGAGCTTTAACACTCCCGTCCCAAGTTCCAGCTCGACATCCATCTAGATATCCAGACATCACCGACCTTTGACCTTCACAAACATCTGAGGACTGAAGACCCCATTACTCGTTATGGAAATTTGACCAATCCTGCAACCCGTGAAATTTGTCCCCATAATTCCTTGCTTCTACCTTTAATGGTACCCAACCACGTTAGGAGGTAGACGCTCACCTGTAGCCAATGGTGGAGCTGCTGTGACCCACCACCAGGGAGGTGGTCTTCCTGAGGCCGCGGGCGGGCGGCGGGGGGCCGGGGATGTCCTCCGTGGCCACAGAGGAACGGGGAACAGAGCTGGCACGTGTGGACACCAGCAGCCGCTCAGGGTGGTCCTCGCTGCGGCTGCGGCGGAGTCGGTTCTGACCCGGGCTGCTGAGGCTCCGTCCCCGGCGGACCCGCTGCAGGAGGCCCTGGGACACCATCTCATCGAAACGTTCCCGGTGTTTCTTGGGGATGAAGATCCTGGCAAACATGGTAGAGCAAAAGGAAGGAGAAGGGGGTCGCATCAGGTGCCAGCCCTACCCACCGCGGCTGGCCCGACGTCCCGACCAACGGGCACCTAGCCACATGCTGAGCCGGGCAGTGCCAGGCTCCTACAGCGAGAAAAGGAGTAGCCCAAATAGAAGCTGACTGAGCTGAAGTAGGTCAGCACTTCCGAAACCTCACTAAACACCCCCACCAGAGAGAGGAAGTTCAGGCACAGTCAGTCTGCAATGGCACCAGAATCGCAGCCGGCTGGTGCGCTTAAGAAAGCCACCAGAAATGAGAGTGGCACTGACTTATTCTCCCCACAGGCCAGAATAACAGAAAGTATCTCCAAAAGTGAGGAGGGAGTCGGCACTCGCTGCCTCCAGATGCCTAGTGTAATCCCGGGATGCTGCTGGGAGAGCGAGGCTGGACAGGAGCCTGGGTGCCGGCTGTCTCTCCCCATCAGGACCCGTGGAGCCTGCTCCAGCTGCCGCCTGCTCTCCAGGCGGGAGAGCGCTCAGCTTCAGTCTTTCTCCTCCCTCTCTTTTTCTCTCTCTCACTCACTTGCTCACCCGCTCTCCGTGCCTGCAGTGAATTGGCTCTTTGCTAGCGCCCGCTGTACGGAGACATTAATGTGGGCAGCCAGCCTATCGCACAGGCACAGCCAACGCTGGCATCTCCCAGCCAGAAAGAATCCCTCATTCTACTGCTTTCGTAACAAATTGTCATTCTCCCATGTGAGAATTGTTCCGCGGCTCCTTCCACGGGGCTCACACACACTCTCCTGGTGCTTGATCCAGAGTGACTCGGCCTCACGCTAGATTGCAGATCTACCGTTCTGACCGCAAAGGTGGAGCATGCCCAGTTCAGACAGTGGCAGGAGCCAACACACTGCCAGGGCCACTGAAGCAGCCAGGCCGATAAACTCAGACCGCACTCCCACAAACTGTAACAAAGTGCCTTCAATAGAGGCAGCTTGGGCCATTTAAAGACCACAGAGGGAGAGTAGCAAGAGAGAGGAGCAACAAGTAAGTGGGCGTCAGATCCAGAACAGGACAAAGCTCTGAGCTGACAGACTTAATCAACTAACCGATCAGCTTTAAAGTTGTTTGAAACAAGCCTCACTCCATGATGGCTACGTGAAGCCACCTTCTGCAGCACACACCGGAATATTTTGTGACTTTAAATTAAGAGCAGACACTCTGCGTGATCCTAAATGCAGAACGGAAGCTAACAAGGAAGCTTCATCACTGGTGGATCCTGTTCCCCGTCCATCCACCCCTGCCCAAATCTCCAACGCATGCGCCTTTAACGCTGTGCCCATCTCCCCAGTGCCCGTGTGTTCCATATTTACATCTCTAATCATGCCAGTGTGGGCAAAATAATGAATAAACAAACACAGTGATGACAGATGATTCAGTGATACTGGCCAAGCTGGAGAACCCCCCCCCCCCAAAAAAAAATAATTACATCATAACTGGGCAAGCAAAAGATCTCTGGGAACACCAGAAATGATCGCAGAGACCTTTAAACCCCGGGAAAAACTAATTTGGGGTCCCCATGTGACAACAGTGATCTCACAGGAACTGAGATTTAAGTCCTAATCCTGTCTCATATGAAGACCGCCGCCAAGCCACTTCTTGGAGGTACCCTTTGACGCACAACATGAGACCCTGATCTGGCCAGAACTTTCCATTAGCAACAAGGAACATTGGGAAGTGTCACAATGAGAGTTTAAAGGGCAGCCTGGGGGCTGCTTCCCAAGACTTTCATGCCTTGGGGTGTGTCACCCCGGGACGGCTCCCATAAGGGCTGCTAGGGAGGGACCCTGGGGGACCAGTTCCTATGGCATTTTCACTGCAGCATTGTGACCGAGGTTGAAAAAATCTAAGTGATGAAAAAGCGAGAACACCCTTTTTCGGGCAGCCAGAAGCCGACTCTCAGTCTCCCGTCTTCCGCAGGGAGATCCGATCCGCATGGCAGTCACTATGACAACCATGCCCACAATGACATGGCAAAAAGGGCGGGGGAAACGCTGCTCTTACCTGATATAACAAACCCAGATGGTTCCACTGTCAATCATACTGTTTGGGCTAAACAGCTTGTGACAGCAGGTGACATGGCATGTCAGACAGGAAGGCCTTGGCTCAGAAGCCTATAGAGAGTAAGTGGTCCAAATTGGATGCTTGACTTGAGGGAGAAAGGGCTCAAGAACTTCACCCTCTAGTAGTCAGTCTACATCTACGTTTAAATGGAGCTTCGAGCTAGAGAATCAGGAATGGCACAGCTGAAAGGGGCTCCAATTTCTATGGTTTCTATGGAAATAGAATAAAACCCTCTTGTGGGAGTACAGTTGATGGTTTTAACGGGATTCTTGGATACACAGTACGTCACTGTGTCAGGGTCCATCGTTATCTGGACTTCAGAACTCCTAGCTGTATGCTACTGCTACCTATGAGCGGTTATAAGTTTAGCAGGGGGACAGACTGTTTCTGAACACATGCGAACTAATGGGAAGCTTACAGCAAACACAAGGTCTGACAGCTCCTCCCTCTCTGCTCTGTAGATACCCACTCAGATCCTCCCTCTCTGCTCTGTAGATACCCACTCAGATCCTCCCTCTCTGCTCTGTAGATACC